AAACTTAATATCGATTTGTTATTTTTAAAACGCAAACTTTTCTCAACCGCGTATACCATATTGCGATAGCCGCGCTAAAATAAGAAAGTCAACAAAGACGGATCATCGTGTCTTTTCCGCGTGTGGTCTTCGGCCTGCTCTCGCGCAATAATTTACAGTTAATTAGCAAATGACGATTCGTAGATCACAGACTTTTGCCGCACGAGGATTTTTCCAATTTCAGATCGAACGGTTTAAAATTCGCTCGTTAGACACGCTACACCGTTTCGCGTTTTAAAAGCTTGTAGTTTTTCGAATCGAATAAATTGAAATTTCGAAAATTTCGCTATTTCGTGGGAAACGCGATTCGAATGCCGATCTGTAGAATCGAACGTGCCATACTCACGATCAGGATAAGGACATTGCCGCCACGGCACGAGTTCCGCATAGACCATGGACAAGGCCACGAACAAGAAGAGGGAAACGAGTAGCGCACTGTTTCGGTTCATCCTCGATGGACGGTCGTTGCGATGTGAAGCGAACGAAAGACGACGATTCCGCTCTATCAACAGAACGTGTACGACTGTCGAGGGGAGTAGGGAAGGTTCAAGAGTGGGGCCATAGGTCAATTGAAATTGTATCTCAAGTAGCTTACACACGGTGAGACTCGTCTCGCTGCGTCTAGCGAGAAACCATTATACGTACGTATCCCTGATACAAACGCGATCGTGCGCAACGAAGAAACAGCGTACCCTTTGATCAGGCGAGTAAGCGAGAAAAAAGTATCGACTCGTAAATTTCTATACGGCGACTATCGTTCCAGGCGAAGGATCAACTACGTTGACTAGATTTCTGATTGAAATGGTAAGAGTCGTAGCTAGTAAATACGTAAACGATGGTTAAGTGGACGAGGCAAAATCGGGATGGTCGAGTAGGCAACACGATACCCGAGACCATTTGGCGTGAGATCTGATCTAGGATCGTGCGGCGAGGCGAGTCTCACGGTGTGTAAAATGCTTTAGCAACGAGAAAGTAGCAAGTACACGCTTGTTTCGTCTGCTGTCCAAGCAACCGCGCGTTGTTATCACGCTATACCGTTGTTCCGTCGATTCAGCGACTATCGCGTTTCCGTAATCGTCAAACCCAGTTCTCATAATCGATCTTTTCCTAATTGGCAACCGCTTCGTATATAAGAGCAAACTGTCGTTAAGGGCATTTCTATATCGATATCGAAGAGAACAAAAATCAAAGGTATTTCCTTTCCACGAAGATTACAATTACGTGGAACCATACTTTCCCTTGATCCCTTTCCAACGTCCACTCCGTTATGCAGCGAATCGCGCCGCTTTTTACATGCTTCGAACATCAGCGATTAGCCGCGAAAGTACCATTCTCGACGAGTATAAGTACGCGCCGTATCCTACATGATACAAGACACGTTTGAACCATCAGAGCCGGAAATAAGAGTTCGACGATCGTTCGAGTGGCGTCGCTATGCGGATCGAGCATAAAGGCCGGCAAAGGGCTGCCGCGGACCGAGGCCAACCTCGGATGACCAATCAAACACGAGACCTCTGGAAAAATAATTGGACGCAATTGTTAAATTGTGCATTTCCTGATAAAAGTGGCCCGGCCATGCCGGAATTCAGTCTCGCCGCCGATTCTGCCGAAATCTCAAATATGAGATCCGTCTTACCCTCTCAACGTCCATTTACTTCTCATTTAGGTGTGGCCGCGACCTGCCGTTACGATTCCGACCATTCGAACGAAGAAAAACGAAGAAAGAATTCCAACGAAGAAAATCCAAAAGCGAAACATATTTAACGTAGTTAAATAAGCGTTAAACGAATTTCGGCTGGCTAAACCGATAGTTTACGATTTACTCTGAACGCCGATCGTTTGCCTTCCAATCCGTTACATTACAGACATCGTCGCTAGCAAATTCTTCGAAAGGTAGAATAATTCACGTTTAGTAATCGTTGCCTTTCTTTGCCTTTCTTTCTTTCCCGTGGCGGTCCATAAGCATACGCCTAAATGTATACTTTGTGGTCTAGCTAGTGTCTAGTTAGGGTGTCAGGCAAGCAAGAAAAACGCCAGATTTCTAAAAGATCAAACTAAAAATGTAATCGGTACGATCTGAAGCGTGTATTTTACGTAAGACGACGTAAAGTCGGTAAAACTATCCAACTCGTACCATTAACGTGTGGAAAGTTCTACGGGAGAACTGGGATGAAGCTTCGCGTTGTTACTTACCTCGAACAGAGTTTCACCTAATTTTTGAATTCTAATTCCCTTGGGCCGAAAATATGACGCAACCTTGTAACAGTTTATACAGAATCAGGCCACCGTTTCTCAAAGTGCGATCCATGCCCTATTGGCGTTTTGTAACTTTGCTGCACGTCGAACCTATCCAAACGTGATAGAACGTAATTATATCGTTATCGTTAGCGAAACCGGTTATAAAGAAAATAAAAAGGAAATTGAAATTGTGGAAATAATATTTTACGTTGATAAAAGAAAATTCATTTTTACGTTGCCTCTGACGCGTATAGCGAGGAAGTGGTAAGAAAGAATCGTTAAGACATCTTAGATAGATAGATATTAAATAAATAGCATATTATCGGTAAAATCGCAAACATCGATTCGTCGTGTCTCTTCCTTTTCCTTTCAAACGGTCTAAAGTAATCGATCCCTATCATTTTTCACCGGTATTCCGTATATCTTTCACATCGTGTATTGATTTAACATTTTGTCCAACGAGAAAAGATGTTCGCGGCCGAAACTGAACAACGACGTTGAAACGTCGCAGAAGCAACCACTCGAACGACGAAGTAACGAATCTTTTACCGCAGTTGGAACGAGCAATTGGAAGAAGATAGAATCGATGGCGTAAAATGTAAATGGACGAGATAAACGAAATAATTATTATTCGCAGTGTCGATTAGAGCTAGTCCGATGCCTGGGGCCGTAATAGTGGATCACTTGGTCCGTACGCCGCACACCGTGCGTTATAACAGCTAATATGCAATTATTCAATTGAAAGAACCGGTTGATTCACAAGGTACTAGTCGGCGGATAGTTTAGAATTTAGAATAGAAGATGTTTTCGTGGACAGCGCGCTTTGGCTCTTACTTTTCGAATGAAACAGAAATAGAGACGGAGATGCGTACGAATCACGAACAAGATTCGTCGCGAACAACTCGCAGTTTACGAATAACAGCTAAACAAATAGCAGCCGGCAAAATAAAAATTTTTCAGCAGAAAAGCAAATATTTCAAATTTATAAGCTGATCGAATATCTTTAGGAAAGGGTTGGAAAAATACGACGTTTTACAGTTAAATTCGATTTCATTCGGTCACAAAAGTTTGTTCGGTAACAATTTCGGTAACGATCGCTTGTAATTTGAATCATTTCCAGAGAAAACGTTGGCAATTTTTCTAGCCTTCCATCATTTTCACACAAAGATACTTACAATCTCCTCGATTCGCATTGGAAACGCTTAAATCAAGCACGTAAATATTGAAATATTGGAAATATTGAAATGCTGCATATTTCGTTCAGATCCGTTCGTCGAACTAGCGTGTGTAAATAATTTATTAAATAAACGATTTATTGAACCATCGTATGGCTCTCTTCACTTGTTTATTACATACAAGATTTAACAAAATAATAATAAACTTATAATAATACAAATATTAATCGTGTCGTTAACGAAACGTTCTCACAAACGATTAACTGTACAGAATTCGGCGTAAACGGGTCGACGTTCGTCAGAAACTGTAAAAGTTTCGTCGGGCAGTGTCGAATAGCACCAACTAGAAAATCAATTCAATGACATAAAGATATATTACTAGACGTAGAAATAACTGTTAGAAAGGTGCAACATGTAACGATGCTTAGTAACAAATACTTATCGAACCTATGAATATTAATCGATTAATGAAATCAATGTGAAATTTACCGTTAACGCTAATTGTAAGTCACATGTCACGTGAATTCGATATCGATTGTTGATATCGATCGAGAACCGAAGCGGCGTGTCGTCTTTTTACATAATCCGCGTCATTCGCAGTGAGATTGTCCTTGTTGGAGCAATCGTCATTACAGAGGAGCAGGTATCGATTCTTTGGTATCACCGTAATGCGCGCGCGCGTGCGCTCCTGTGTGTGTGCGTGGTCGTTTGACCGTAATCGAAACTGCTTGTTTTTCCAGCTTTTTCGCACGACGACAAATTCATTTATTCGAACGATCGATTCTTTCGAGAAGCAAACTTTTATCAAAACCTCCGATGCTTTCCAACGCGATTTTATTTTATTTACTTCCAGTTGCAAATTACTGTCCGATTATTTCATCGTTTAAAACTTTATCGAGAAACTGTAGGAAAACCTGTGGTTCGATCGTTGAAAGCAAATAGGAAATCGCAAATAAATAGCTGAAGATATCGCAACTAGAAATTCATCGCGTAGACGCAACGATATCGCGTAGAAACGCAGAAACGTAGAAAAATTTGACAAATTGCATCGATCGCAAGAGTCTCTTAGAGACGCAACACATAGAAAAACTGAAATCATTTACGACCATGCGATCGAAAACGTTGGATACGACTAGTTTTAAAAAACCGAGATATTTAACTGGAAAGCTGAAATAATAGTTGTCGAATGGTTACGAGTCAAAACGTTGTCACACTTGGGAAGAAAATTTCACTCGCTTCCTCGAACGACAATCTCCATCAACACACCACACACCACTTCATCGGCGACGTTCTCCCGTCTCTTTGGCAAATCTATTTTTGCTTCTCGTTCTCAATGCGTGTTCACGTTAACTGCTCGAGCTTGTTCTCAATCGGGAGGATCGAGTGGAACCGTTCCACCGACCCGGACCGATCGATCGCAGCAAGAAAACAAATCCAGCGCACGCACGGTCTGCCTAAGAAAACATGTTTTATCCATACCATCCTAGGTGATCGATTAACCGTAATCGTACTTCGTAACCGTAATCGTAAAAATAAAAAATTACGCTAATGTTATTACAATTGGACGTTCGTTTCGTAATCGACTGTCAACGGTAAAAAATTGTTCTTACCGTTAATTAAACGATTACCTCTTTTCTTACCTCTATATAGAGATAGACGATGCTTTTCCTACAACGCTTCTTCGTATTTGTAACTGCTCTTTTACGTATTTGTCGCGTATATCACGGATACGTGAGATATCCGACAACGATTCAGCCAATTATACATGACAATACATAAGTATTATACGCGTATCGATGTGCTCGCTTTACTAATAATTTATAATAAATTACGGAAGCAAAATTAGAAGCAAAGCAAGTTGACGAATAACGGAATCTTAACTGGAAAACTTAAATCGTCGATACGTTTCTGACGCGCGTTCTATCCAGCACGTATTAAACGCGATACATTGCAGATTATACTTATTACGTATTAATACTACAGTCGAGAACAATACGCGTTATCTGTAATATACGAATCGAAGTTCGCATACGTTTAGTACTATACGCCTATACGACTCGTAATTAATACACGCAATGAACATTTAATTTATTTCGTCGACTTCGTTAGACTTGCATGTTTTTCAAACGTTAATTTACTTTTCGAGCGAATAGTCGTCCGCTTTAACGTTTCATTGTTTCATCGTTTCATCGTTCCATCAGGAAAATCGGCTCGTCTTTCGAGTGAAATCGGAAACGTCGCGCTTCGCCATTCAAAACCGATCGTTGAAAGCGTTCGAACGGATAACGATGAAACCTGAAAACTCGAAGAAACACGATCGTATTAAAAAACGAAAGGATAAAAATTCTCCTTCGGCGGCTTCCGGATGTACCTGCTCGGAGTTGGCTGCGTTGGCTTGCGGAGAACAACGCGTTCCGTGGCACTCACACAACGTAAATTGGATCCTTACACACCGATATCCTCGCTTCTTGCAGAATCCTCAGCCTTGGTCCCAAGGGAACACCCATTTTTTGCAATCTCTCTTCGCTTAGGTAGGGAAGCTCTACCATACCGACCTTTTCTTTCTCAAACGCATTTGCATATTTCTGGGACACGTTCAATTTGGTTAATCGAAAGAATACGAGAAATGATATTTTAGTCGTGTCTGATAACGCGGTAAAAAAAGAATCGCAGGTACGAGGCGTCTGCGCCGCGGATTTCGCACCGTCGCGTCGATTTCAACGAATAAAAGTATCGGTACACGTAGCGAACCATTCAAATGGAAATATCTGTCGCGCAAATTTCTTCGACGCTATGTCGATCGCCGACGTTAATCGGGATTAGGGAAAGAGAGTATCTTTTGAAAATTTGCTCTGCGATTCATTGCGATTCGTTCGTTTAATAACGCTTATTTCGTGGATAAACGCGCGAATCGATAATTCCATCGATCGGATTAGAAACATTGATACGACTAGAAACGAAAGCAGCGGTAATTCGAATTACCTACCTCATACCCAAGTTCCCTGAGGAATAGTCTGATGAGCGGTGGTTCTGTGCCGAAGAACTTGGTGAGCTTTTTCACCCTCGAAGGGTTGGAAAGAGCCGGCAGCTCGGAATCCTTGATCAGCGGTTGAGACTGCGACCTCACCATTGCCATGCTCGTTTGAGTCCTGAGTGCAGCAATCTCGCCCCTTATGTTCTCCATTTCCTGCGAATACCTGGTAGTGGTGAGTTTCGAAAATTCTCACTCGCTTCACCGCCTATACCGCTCCTTCCTATTTCCCACGTTCCCTCCTATGCCCGATTGCACTCGATTTTGTTACAACAAGTCGTTAGATAACAGTTTCAGACAAATTCATTTCGATTCAACTATGCCGTGTATGAGAAACCGTGTTTTCGCTACATAGCTACGTATGCATATACGTATTTCTAAAGAAACTGACCATGTAAACAGCGCCTTTGAATCGTCCTCGTCTTTATTTCATTACCGATCGTTCGATTTCATTTTTATTTCGTTTTTGTTGATTCGATGCGAAAGCCTTTCCAATTGCAAACTCGACGCGCATCGATAAAAGAACTTTCCGTACGAAACGAGTTTCCTTTATCGTCGAGCATGTTGCTTTTTAAACTCCAAGTATTTAAAAAGTTGCCAATGCTCGCATATGCTTATACGTACGATATATGTACGATGAGAAATAAACTGCATACAGCGGTACGTAAAAATAACTGAAAATCTCGTCTTTCTAAAGATCTCTTCTAAGCTAAGCGTTTTTAAATCGTTAACCAGATTCTCTCACCTGTATCATCAAATGTTGCGTCCTCATCTCCGAACTCAAGTGTGCCACCGATCTGGCAAGCGTCACTACGTGAGATTCTAGTCGTTGGAAGCGTTTGTTAATGCTCTGCAAACGCAAGGACAATGCTTAATCGGCCACGTATCCGTGAAAATAGATCATCCAGCTTTAATTTGTGTTGCGAACGAGAACTTTATCTATTTATTCTTCGATACAATTGTATCAAAAAAATTTCATCTCTCCATATCGAAATCGACCGTTTAATTTCGTACAATTCGTACGACGCATTTTCATTTTTCATATAATGAAAATTACGATAGTAAGTGTGATAAAACACCGGCCGCCAAGTAACGGATTGCGACATGTGTGGCGTGACGCTCCTTTCCGTAAACGATATCATTCCTACCTTGATTCGTTTAAACGAAACCTTATGCACACGTCTTGCAGATACACCAAGTATGGCGATAAAGTTTCGCGATAACAGTAACAGTAAAGACCACTATAAAGAGGATTCGCGCGAAAAGCAAAATGTCGTTTTAGAAAGTAAAATTAGCTAACGGAATCTATGATAAACGGTAATGAACGGCCGATGAAGATTCGCGAAAGATGGATGGAAATGATACTAAGATGGTGAAATGGACGCGACGCGTCTTTAATCGAACCGACCTTTATGTCTTTGGCTTTCTTCATTCTGTCGTCGATCGCGTGGGATCTACGTTTATCATGGTGCCTTGTAACAGGTCTCGATGAAACGGACGACGTCGGCAACGATGAGACGGAACCGTAACTGGCCAGGCCTCTGGCCTTCCGTCTTTTTTTCACACTTCCGCCGAGCAATTTCAGTACCTGCGATCGTTAGTAATCCTATTTTACTACAGCTGTTCGTATCACCATGTTACGGGTGCAAGTTACAAGTACGATTCAACGTTTGTACATCGGTTAATTTGTGGTAACTACACCAACGTAAGTTGCTACTTGTCTCACCTCGCTGTACATATTTTCCAGACCTTCCAACTGCTTCCTAATCGTTCTTGCGTCGTTTGTACTTAAATCGGAATCGCTTCTATCCAGCATCGAGTCTAAATCGAGTCCAGTGGTGGTCGAAGTCAAGTCAGCTGCTTCTACACCGAAAACTAAATAAACGACAGTCGTATAGAGTCGTTAAAGAGGAAAGTAACGATGGTGAAAAATACGCGCAAAGAAGAAAATCGAACATTACTTACGATGAGAGAATTTCTTCGCAGCATCTTTTTTGGAAGTAGACGCACCACGATGCTTCGAACTACCCGGGAACCCGCTTCTTTTCTCTATAGCCTTGCTGTAATCGTTGTAATTGGGTTTCGATCCGTATGGTAAGCTACAAGGCCCACAAATACGTGACCGTTAACATTGCCAAGAATCGCATGCTAAGAGGACGGTTAAACTGGCAAAGATTAGTTATTTCGATCGGATACTCTGTCATCGTTAACGCGACGACAAAACGATTAAGCGATAAATCGGTGATTACGGTAACGCGACTGCCGTGATCGACCAGCGAAACCAACCGAAACCAACCTTTACGTACAAAAGCGTACCTCCTAGATCGAATAATCGTTTGGAACGGTAACCTTTCCGTTTCTTGGAATATTCTTTATCGCAACTACGGTTGGCGGCATCCCGAAGGATATTTTACGCGTCGAAATAGGAAGAGAAACAAAAATTCTGGTTTCCCGATAGGTTGGTTGTTCCTAAAACGAGCACACCCGTCTGCCTACGTTTGTCGACAGTTTGCGATCGGTTGGTTGCTGATCCATTTTAGCAGACCCGTATCGGTGCCCCGATGTACGCGAAGGCCAGAAATAATCGGAAGCAACCCTGGACCAGTGACCGGAAGCGACATCGGTTACGGGACGAAGAGGATCTGTTTGAAGTAGCGTTACCTCGCCGAGTATCGATTTCTCGATGTTCTGGGACTTTCATGGGGCGAAAGCGGCGGTAGAGGTGGCGTTACCGATGATACACTTTCGGACAGGGTGGAATGCGCCATCGCGGGGACGTCTCTTGGTTCTAAAATGCTTCTCAGTTCCGACTCGACTATGTCCACCCATTCGGAATCCTGTACTGTAAGTTCGAGTAAATCTACGTAATTATAAGTACAATTTTACAATCGCGACAAAACGTTTACACGCGCAGATTACGCGCAACTACGCGGTCGATTACCGATTATTCGATCGTCAGTCATATTCGTAATCATCGAGGAAACATTTGCACGACACAGATGCGGACGTATACGTATTCTACAAGTCTGACTAAAACTAGAGGAAGCTAGGATTACCTACCTTCTACCGTTTACGTGTGTATATATATATATATATATATATATATATACTTTGAGATACGGTGAAATATTTATCGTGGCGACTTAACGAGACTCTAGCAAGGTTGGCGAGTAACAAACCTGGGGGGTGAGTTTGGTCTTCGGGTGGTGGCCGTCTTCCGCTGGAATAAACAGCAGATCCTCTTCCCGAATCAACATTGGAGGAACTCTGTCCAGCTTTATCGTAATCCGATCCAGATCCCTGATTCTGGATTTTCAATCGGCTGATACCGTGTTCCAGCTCGTCTTTCCTTGCCTCCGATTTCGCTATGCAATCCTTTGCGTATTGATTCTCCATCCTCTTCAGAGGCTCGCCGTTTCCAATTCTCGACCCGCACGAACTCCTACCCACGTCCGTTTCGATACTATCCTTCGACATTTTTCCGTTGTAATGATTCTCCTCGGCTCGTTTCTGCAACTCTTCGATTCTCTTTTGCACGCAAGTTCCTTCCGGCTCCTGACTTTCCTGACCGGCGGTCACTCCTAGCTGTTCCTGTTCCCTCTTCGAACACCTAACGGCATCGTCTCTGCGAATAGCGAAGCTGGTTTCCGGCCGATACTCGTCTTTCCTTTGAGAATCGCTTCTCCTGAATTCCCCTTGTCCACGATCTTCCACCGTAATCTCGTATCTTTCTTTGTCCAACGGATCCACCGTAAGAGTTTTTAACCCGTCAACCGGATTTCTCGATTGTTCGTTAACGCAGCCAGACCTTTCGTCCTCGTACGAAAGCTGCGGCTGGGACGCCGCCTTCTCGATACCTTTCGTCGAGTTTCGTCGCTGAAACTCTGCTTCCTGGTTACTTTCGGCTTTCATATAGACTTGCGGTACACCGTACCTCGGTCGACCTTGAGCATAATGGTAATACACTTCCTGTCCGGGCAGCCTCAGCTCTTGAGCTTGTCTGGAAGTGCTCGGTAGATCGATCTGAGATCTTGACATGGTTTGTCGAGCTTGTTGGTATTGCTGATAAGACACGTTGTTCGAGAAATAGCTTTGCTGCACGTTCCTGACGCCGGCGCCGCCGC